GAACAATGGAAGGAGAATGTGGCATCACAGTTGTCAATCTGGACAATTAGAGAACAGGATGGGAATTGTATAATAAAGGACTTCCCTCAAAAGGACATCTTCGTTGAAGCTCATCTTTGCCTGAACAACTCAGACCATGATCGGCTCCATACCTTGGTCAGTGAAGACTGTTTTCCGGATATGAGCTCTGACCTCAGATATAAGACCATGCGCTGGAGCTTGGTGGAGTCTTTAAACCCACCCCGGGTGGTTCAAGTGCACTGCTCAAGCACGGTAAACCAAGCTAATATGTATGGCCAGATCACTGGACGCCTGCACACCCGGCAGAGTTTGGGCGACTGATGTGTGGACAGGAAGATGTGCCCAAGGGCATCCTCGAGGATGTTGTGTTTGAGAAGCACCTGATGTACCCCTACGGGAGCTGCAGAATGCATGGCAAGATTGTTCCCCCATGGGCACCCACTGAGCAGCCCATCCTTAAGACGGTGATGATCCCTGCAAAGGAAGAACCCCAAGTGGAGGTCCATACACCTCAGCCAGCATGATGGCAACAAGGATCCTGGAATGCAGCATGGGGGGCTGGGGGAGGCAGGATGGCTTGGAAGTTGTGTAGGCTTGGGGCTGCAACGTCATCGGCCTTCACCATGCAATAGAAAGAACTATCTTTAAAAAAAAAGATGCCCAGAGACCCGGTGGCATAGTGGTTACATTCTGGACTGCTCCTGCAAAGTCCCAGTGCCGAGCTACCAGCAGTTCCACGGGAGAAACAGGCAGGGGCTTTCTCCACTCGCCAAGTTACTCTCTTGGAAACTCAGGGCCAGTTCTCCCGGTGCTCTAGGGTGCTGTGAGTTGGCCTGGGCTCCAGGCAGTGAGTTGGGGGTTTTTGGTTTGTTTTACCTGAAGATAGAGGAAGTCTTGTGATTCCTCTCAGCTGTTAGGAACCTGCAAAACCAGGACAAAATGCCTTAACTAGCTGGCAATTGGTTAACCTTTGATTTCATTCTTTGAACCATCAAGTACAACTTCCTGCTTTTTCTAAGCCTCCTAAGATTTTAGCCCCACCTTGCCTGTGACCTCTCTCCCCTAAAAAAGAGTAGAACCACGTTTCTCAAATATCTCCATGGGACCCCTGAAAGAAAAAAACAAACGCCATTCTTACCCCATGTTAGTATAGCAAGCACCTCAAGTGTGTACTTTTAAAAAGAATATGACACAGTTCTGGGATAGTAAGGACACTTCAAAAGAAACTGGGCTGTATCATCATGTCAGGCTCCAGAGTGAAGCCCTTTTACTCCTGTGCCCCTCCAGCACAGCGACCCCTCATGACCTCACGTCTCTGGCCCGTTGCTTTAGAGCCTGGGATGTTCTAAACGTGCTGCAAGATTCCAGGACCCGGCTGTCACTGCTCCCGGGTTGTGTTAGTCTGGGTTGACTAGAGAAACACATCGAGAGTAAGAAAGAGCTTTATATAGAAGAGATATTGAATATTGAGAAAACGTCCCAGCCTAGTGCAGATCAAGTCCAGAAGTCCGATATTAGCCCATATGTCTGATACCAATCTATAAATTCCTCTCCAACTATGAAACACATGCAATGACGCTGAATGCAGGACGTTCACAGGCCAGTGAGTGAAAAATCTTGTGGATCCAGTGGCAGTGGAGGCATCTCAACACAGGCAGGGCTCTCCACGTGGCTCCTCTAGCTCAGGGCACTAGCATAGCTCCATGTGTCTTCTCAGCTGGAATGTCTTCCAGGGAGTGAGTCTTGTCAGTAGAGAGTCTCCAAGGGAGTGAGTGTCCCACCTCCAGTGGAGCTATTTATCTCCTTAGCGCCTCCAAAGAGGTCATCAAGCTGCGACCTGATTGACTCTACCCCTTCACTCTTAATCCTCTCAAATTGACAACAGATCATATAACTACCACACAGGTGGACATAGACCTTAGTATCACCTAGTCCTGTGAGTTTTCCAACCGAATGCTCAGGGCCTGTCCCGCCTTTTAGTTATTCTATCAAT